CACATTGAAATTAGGATACTTAAAGCACACCATTTAGCAAATTGGATCACCATTTCAAGAAAATACCAAACAAATCAATAGTACGCTCCATGAACAAATCACACAATGCTACGAGCTAGCACTGGCACCTCAATCCCTCATTAGCGCATACCATTTAGCACATAAAACCACTCGTAACAGGGAGCGCTTGCTACAAATAGCATTTGCACAAAGACTGCACCAAGCGTGGTTCTCAGTCTTACCGGCTGTCCGTTCAGAGTCTGATTTTCAGTACACAATTATAGCACAGTCCCAGGAGTACTTGGTGTGGATCCGACCTCTTTGCTTGTCGCGCCACAATGCCGTTTTTGCCGGCTCTGCCCCAAAATGGAGGACAGGTGCGACCGTCACCGTCTTCCTCCCGGGTGCACACAGGTAAGTAATTATTAGTTCCGCATGACCACCTGCGCGAATGACATTCGCCGCAACAAACACTATTGACCAGTGTTTCAGTTTCATTGTCTAACCCCTTTTGTGTGTGTGTGTGTGTGTGTGTGTGAGGGTATCTAGATACACCTTTTTTTTTGGCAATCCAATCTTTTTTAGAAGAGAAGCATAATGCCCACAAAGCTCTCCTTTCCAACCCAGGATCCCTCAGTCTAAAATCACGCTTCACCAAGACCAGAGCTACAATTCAACAGGCTCTTCGGACCATGGAAGACAGCTGGTGGATGCAAAAAGCGGAAGAAATCCAGAATTTTGCTGACTGCAATGATACCCAGGGCTTCTATGATGCCATTAAAACCTTTTTAACCCTGTTCGATCTGAATCATTGAGCGCTGGGCAAATCACTTCAAAACTATTCTTAATTATACAAACCGAGCTGATTTAAACATTCTTGATAAACTGCCAGACCTACCACAAATGCCACAACTGGATACCTTACCACACTTCTCTGAAACCCGACAGGCCATCAGGGGCCTAAAGAACAACAAAGCCCCAGGACCTGATGCCATTCCAGCTGAGGTTCTTAAAAACCGAGGTTATCTCCTTACACGCCGTCTGCACATCCTGATTACTCATATCTGGAAGTGCGAGAAAGTCCCTCAGGACTGGAAGGATGCTAACATTGTTGTCCTCTATAAGCAAAAAGGGGATCGAGCAGACTGTGGCAACAGCCGGGGAATCTCGCTTCTTTCCACCGCTGGGAAAGTACTAGCAAAGATCATGCTCAACCGACTGGTGGAATACATCTCAGAATTTACTCTTCCTGAAATGCAGTGTGGCTTCCGGAAGTCCAGATCCACTATTGACATGATCTTTGTTCTGTGGCAGTTGCTTGAGAAGAGTAGAGAGCAGCATAAACCTCTACATAGCATTTATTGACCTCAGCAAAGCTTTTGATACCATAAGCCGTGAGCTGCTCTGGAAACAGCTCCATAAACTTGCCATGAAACAAAGCGATGGCGTTCACCTGGAATACCGCCTTGATGGCAGCCTGTTCAACATCCGGCGACTCCAGGCCCACACAAAGACAAAAACCTGTCAAATCTATGAGCTCCAATATGCTGATGACTGTGCTGTCTTGGCACACAGCCCAGACTCCATGCAGCATGCTCTAGATACCATCTCCAGCCTGTATCAGTCTTTCAGTCTCCACATCAATGTCAAGAAAACCGAGGTCATGGCTCAGCTCTCCACCCAACTCCCCTCATCATCCTTTTTTTGTATTAATGGGAGCCCTCTGAACCTTGCCCACCAGTTTACCTACCTTGGTTCTACACTTACATCAGACTGTTCTCTTGACATGGAAATAAATCACCGTGTCAACAATGCCGCATCAGCATTCGGGCGACTTCGGAAAAGGGTGATTGATAACAAAAATCTAAAGATCAGTACCAAAATCGCAGTCTATAATGCAGTACGTGTTTCCACCCTGCTCTATGGGGCAGAAACATGGACCCCATACAGGCGTTACATAAACAGCTTGGAGATGTTTCACATTAGGTGCCTGCAAAAAATCCTCACTCTGTCCTGGAAAGACCGAACCCCCCATACAGATGTTCTGTCATTAACTAACACCGTTTGCATGGAAGCTGCTTTGGCAAAAAGACATCTGCGCTGGGTTGGGCAATCTATCCGCATGCCTGGCCATCGTCTTCCCCACCAAACTCTCTATGGGCAATTGTCCAACTCTAAACGGGCTGCTGGTGGGCAGAAAAGGCGATATAAAGATTATACTAAGGAACTCCTGAAGCGCTGCAACATCAGCCCAAGTCAACTTGAGCCCCTTGCACTCATCAGACCAACCTGGCATGACGTCTGCATCAAGGCAACTGAACAAATCAGCAACATCTTTTTTCAAAGAAGGGCCGAGAGACGTGCCCAACGACACCAGCGGGCAGCCGGAATCGCTCGAACATCAGGACACATTTGCCCCATCTGCAAGCGAGTGTGTGGCTCCCGCATTGGCCTTCACAGCCATATGAAGTGGCACCAACGTCAACAGCGTTGACTCCCCCCCCCCCTTCCCCCGGGAGCAAGCGTCGTCATCGGACACGATGGACAGCTAAGAGTGTGAGGGTATCTAGATACACCTTACGTTGTGGGGACCAAATGTCCACACATGATAAAAACCTGTTACTTTGACATTGTGGGGACCGGTTTTCTGGTCTTCATAAGGACAACCATAATTTTATGAAATATTGCAATCAAAAAACTAAAAATGCCAAGAGACCTGTATTTTGTTTGGTTACTTATAGTTAAGGATAGGGCTGGGTAGGGATTTAGGTCCTTATTTTTGTATTTTAGTTTTTCTCATAGAAGTGAATGGATGGTCGCCACAAAGATATGAGTACAGGTGTGTGTGTGTGTGTGGTTGTAATAGAGCTTTTTGTTACAATATGCTGGAACAGAATATGAAGATATGAACATAAGTTTGCACCTTAAGCATGTTGTCTGTGTTTTTCATGTTTGATAATGACGGAAGAGGAACAGACTGACAGCTAGCATGAAAAAAACAAAGCAGAGCTAAGCATCTCAAAATAATTTACTGGAGCTCGTGACAGAGCAGGAAACAGCAGTTAGAGCTCAAAGAGAATCAGGAAAAAGTCACGAGCTACACATTTCTGAGTGTCAGTGCAGTTCATGCAGTAGTATTGAGATTGAGCCTTTTTTGAATTTCAAAGGTCAAAGGTTTGTATTTTGCAATTTGAACTGCCATTGTTTATTAAAATATATATCTATATTTTACATTTAAATGGTGTATGAGTAATATTTTTAAGACAACCTGACTCATTATAACATTACTTAGTACACCCCCAAACCCAACCCCAGATTGATGTTCTTTCGCTGTTAATAAAGAAATTTGTCTGGGTCTACATGACACTTGGTTTAAGTTCTCCTTCAAAATAAGAACTACGAAATGGGAATAGTTTTGTTCAATTCTATAAAAATTTTGTACATTACAGCTTCATATCATAATATTGCAGAAGAAGCAAAGTGCAGACTGATTCTTAGAAAATCTCATGGCAGTGTTTTAATTTAATATTTCAGAAATCATTTTGGAAGAAGACGACCCCTCCTGGGTATCATTAAAGGGTGTAATATTACGCAAATATAACATTCGAATTCCACATAGACTCCACTTGGGCAAACACATGCCGGTGCTCCATGGAACCCATGGCCAAATGTGATTTGAATCAGTTATATTTCCCATTAAAAACACACATTGGCCCACATGAAAATATGGTCTGGGTCCAGTCACAATTACCCAAATTGGACCCAGTTGACACCTATTTAGATTCCTCATGGATCCCATTTGGGTCCCTATTTTCAACCCATACAGGCCCCATGTGAGCCCAGTCAGGATAGCCCAAATGGGCCCCATTTCTAACCCATCCAGATCCCACTTTGGCAAACACATATGGGTCCACCATGGAGACCACAGCTAAATCCATTTGGGGCCCATGAAGTTGCCCATTTTTAAGCCTTAAAATGATACATACCATCGGAGTTAACGATGAACTTGAAGAAGATTAGTACAACAGTAAGACTTCTGGTCTTCATTTTCATCCTTTACTTTCTGATTACTTATCTTACATATAATGGACGTCGTCAGGTCCGACCATTCAGGTCCCGCGTATTTTACGCGTAGCCCGAGTATTTTAGCCTCGATGCCAACCTTCCTTCCTTCAAAAGAGGTAGTTGACTTAGCCCCTGATCTTTTCAATAGCTAGAAACTCCCCTGCCCCACCTTAAAACGAATATACATATATCCGCTATGATTAAAGCCGCTCAATATTTATAGACAATCCCGTCTTTCTGACCGCCCACTACATTCACTTCACACCTGGTGCTGAAACGGAAGAGCTGAGCGGTTCGTTCCAGGTTGTTATTTCTGTACTGCGTACAGCTTTGGTCTGTGTGACCAAAACTGCATCCAGCATATTTTAAGGTTGCTCAGTTCTCAGCTTATTCAGGACCCAAAACCCGCAACGGCGGAATACAAACAGAATGCGCGAAGTCACAAATGTGGCAGGTATAGAAGTTTTAGAATAAAGTGTTTTAGAAAGTGACATCCCCGTTTGAGTTATTTACCCTTCGTTAAATCAGTAGGTCGTCGTGGAAGTGAGTATTGTAAAGCCATTTGTAGGCTAATAGGAATGCGTGCACTTTACTCTGTCTACTGTGGGGGTGGCAGGCAGGAGAGCTGACAGTGCGCGACAGGAAATATACCTGCAAAACATTGAGCTGCTGCAAAAAGCATAGAACAGTCTCACACCTATAACCACGAATGTTCTGCTTGCACCTTATATGGAATCTTGTTCCGAGAAGTATTTCTGCACCTCTGAACAACAAAGATTCAGAGAAACCCAGTAGATATGAGAGACTGCGTAATGGAAATATACCAGCTTGACTTTTATTCTCTTGCTTGTGTGCTGCAACATAACCAGGAAGTAACCAAGAATAATACAGGTATATAAGACTGTGTAAAGCTTTACCGCACGGAACATGCTGAGCGGACACACTGGGTTGTGTAAACAGTCTGTTCCCGAACCGGTTCGCATTAAGGCAATTAACAGGCATTAGCTGATAGAAGCATTACTAAATAAAAGCATCATTTATAATCAAACTGAGAGTCTCCCTGTGTGATCCCTTCTCATCCGGACCCGGTGGAGCGGCGTACTCCAACACTACCTACAAATGGATAAAGCAAGACAGCGGGAAGGCGTGTGCACGGGTACGGGGACGCGCGCATATGCTTGTGCACTGCGACCTGCAGCAAACACATGCGTCGCGTAGTGGGTGATGGTCGACAAAGTTTGATGAGTTCAGACATGACAGTATTCAATCGGTGTATCGTTCGTTCTTCAGATTTTCCATTTCAAAACCAAATCGGAAAAACAAAAAATCCTGACAGCCAGCAACCCCACCACATGTTCACTCAACCTTCTGGCATGTTGCAGCTTATTTCTCAGGATCTTCTCCCACACATCACACACATAGTCAAAGGCTCTTTAATGACTGGCTATGTTCCGACTGCCTTCAATTCAGCAGTTGTCACCCCCATTCTAAAGAAACCCTCTTTGGACTGCTCAGATGTTAACCACTACAGACCAGTGTCCCAGCTCTCCTTTCTTTCAAAAGTATTGGAACAAGCAGTTTATAACCAACTTAATATCTTTCTCTCTGACAATGCACTCCTTGACCCTCACCAGTCTGGATACAACGTACTTAGCGGTAATTTTGGTTTTAATGACAGTTGTTAAATTTAGGTCTAGCTTATAGATCGAAGAACAGTAATGGACTGCAATTAAAGCACTGTTGTAAGTCGCTCTGGAAAAGAGCGTCTGCTAAATGCTGTAAATGTGAATGTAAAAATTAAAGAAGTGTTTTTTGGTTTTTCTGTTTTAAAATCATAACGGGAAAAAAGGACAAACAAGAAAATTAAAAAGGCTTCATGTTTTGTTCTTCTGTTTTAAACCCATAAGGGAAAACTGTTAATAATGTCTTATTGTTTCGTTTTTGTGATATTCACCGTAAATCACCTTTTATTGTTTCGTTTTTTTGTGATATTTACGGTAAATCCAGGGGATGTCAGACAATTGAACATCTAAGACATCAAAACCATAATATAACATATCCCTCCTGAAAAAACAACATAGATCAGCAAAGCTGGTTACCAGCATGGCCAGCATAATGCATGCTGGTTATACCAGCATATGTTGTGTTTTGGTGCTCGTAAACCAGCATCATTAATGAAAAATTGCTGGTGGACCAGCTTCATGTACAGGTAGACCAGCAAGAGTATGCGGGTACACTAGCTACACCAAACCATCACTCACCAGCATAGACCAGCACGGAAATCATGCTGGTCTATGCTGTTTCTTTTCAGCAGGGATGTGGCTTATACATGGACCAAAAAAGTATTTGTCACACCCACAGGGGCAGGGCCAGACAGGTGCAACACATCACAGGACGATTAGCCACCTTTAAAAGAGAAGTCACCACAGACCTTCCTCGCGAAGTATTACGCTAATGTTTCCTAGCCTTACCGAGCATTCTTGCTGTCTTCCGTCAACCCGTATCCCCTTGCCTTGTCTGTTAGCCTTACCTTAATTTTGCCTTCCCTCCTCAGTCCAGCTCCCATACCTGACCCACCTGTCCTGCCTCTCCTGTTCGCCCCTCCTTGTGTTCCCCGGTCTTGTGTCTCTCCGTCGGACGGCTTCCCCTGGTATCGACCTCAGCTCACGGACAAAGACTACGATTACGGCACGCTGCTTCTGTACCTACCTGCCAGATTACCGAGTCGGTGATATCTTCCCTGCCCGTCGCTCTCTCTCCGGTTACCGGGGAAGAAGAACCTGTGAGCCCTCGCTGTACCGTGTTGGACATTTCCTGTATTCCTGCCCACACCGACTCATTAAAGCTCTGTATTCCCTGCACTCCTCTATCTCTGCTTCTCTCCCTTGCCTACCGTGACAGTATTTAAAGAATAATTTGTTTGGCAGGGTGGGTCAACTCGGTGGGTTGGGAAACAGAATGTTGCTGGTTCAAATCCCGTGATCAGCAGAGTGATTCCACCATTGGCCCATTGAGCAAGACCCTGAACCCCAGTTACTCCAGGGACTGGCTGACCCTGCTATCTCCTCTACACCAGTTTAATGAGATGGCCTCCTGGGATGCCTTTCCAGCTGTCCTTAAGGAGGTCCCTCATATAGAGTGCCTTGCAAAAGTATTCACCTCTTGTTGAAATAATAGGTTTTTGTGATCCACGTTAAATCATTTCAAAACCTTTCCCACCTTTAATGTTACCCATAACCTGTACAATTCAGTGGAAAAACATAACTAATCTGTTAGGCAGAAAAAATAAAAGATAAAAACATACAATAAGCTAGCTGCATAAATATTCACCCCCTTAAACTAGTACTTTGTTGAAGCACCTTTTGATTTAACTATAGAATTCAGTCTTTTTGGGTAGGAGTCTATCAGCATGACACGTCTTGACATGGCAATATTTGCCCACTCTTTCTTGCATAAACACTCCAAATCTGTCAGATTGCGTGGGCATCTCCTGTGCACAGCCCTCTTCAGGTCACCCTACAGATATCAGTTGGATGTAGGTCTGGGCTCTGGCTGGGTCATTCCAAAACTTTCATTTTGTTCGGGCGAAGCCATTCTTTTGTTGATTTGGATGTATTCTTGGGGTCATTGTTGTGCTGAAAGGTGAAATTCCTCTCAACCTTCAGCTTTCTAGCAGACACTTGAAGGTTTTGTGCCTAAATTGACTGATAACTGGAACTGTTCATAATTCCCTCCAGTTTAACTAAAGCCCCATTTCCAGCTGAAGAAAAACACCCCAAAGCATGTTTGTGGAACAAAGAGTCCATGCAGAACCCTGGCTATGTCTGGATGGCTATAAAAGGTTTAATTTGAGATTTCACTATTTCTTTTATTTCTCACCTTCCACGTGCGACACCCCGGAGAATTACTGATTTGAAGGCACATTTGAATAGTTTGGAGTCCATGTGGTCTCAGCATCTGGACCAAGCGCCAGGGTAAGGGCCGAACTCAATGGTTTGCTTTTGCGTAAGCCTGAATTTCTTGTACATCACACTAGGATGCGGTATTACACTAGTGGAGCTAAGCCTGGTAAGTTCTTGGCGCTTAGGCTCTTTTGCCACCATTTCATGTGTGAAACTCAAGGATGGAGCTGTAAGCACCAACCCTTCTGAAATCAATGACTGTTTTGTTGATTTCTATAAGGATCACTACTTAGCCGAAACCGCTCCATCCCAGGCAGCCCTGGACTCGCCTTTTTCCCTGGCTTCTCTCCCTATACTTGCTCAGCAGGATGCCTTATTACTAGAGGGGCCCCCATTACAGTCTGTGAGCTCACTGAGGCCCATAATCATCAGCACCTGGGATGGACGGTATTCAAGCTGAGGTGCTGCTCACCTTTTGGTCACAGTTAGCCTGTTCTTCTGCCATACGCTCCTCTCAGCTCCACCCCTCGTTAAACTCTGTGATAATTTCTTTACCTTTAAGTCATGAGTCATGTGCTTCAGGACCTTCCTCATGGTGGCACAGTGGGGCCTGGAGCACGACCACCATTCCCTGTAGTTCTGCTTCTTCCACTGGCACAAGTCAACGTGTTTCAAGAGATCCAGCCGCTCCTGGATCAGCTCGGGCTTCTCCGGGTCAGTCGAGGGGCCCGAGGGGGGAGGGGGGGGGGGCAGAACAGCAATCTCATCAGCAGGGGTCACTGTATGTTTGTTACAGTCACCAAAACAGCCTTCATGCTCTCTATGCTCTGCATTCTGGGCTTGGGCCTGTAAACCTCAGCCGTGTTTCTCCATCATAATCAGACCGGTTTCTGTGCGGCTGGAAAAGCTCGATATCTGAAGCGCCACTCAAAGCCCCTTCCCTCGAGTCCCCATCTGAACGTGGTCTGGGGCCCCTGCTGGTCTGGGGGGCAGCTCTCACCAGGTTTGCCTTTCTTTAGGAAGACATTCAGCTACTTTCCAGTATAATAAAAATGGTGAAATGAAAAACCTGACAATCTGCCCAATTGGAAGCAACTGTAGGGCTGAGTTGAGCGGATAATGTCCCAAAGTGGACCTATCAGCACCACAGCCTGCAAATGAGGGTGTGAAGGCAGGACCAAGCCAGGACACACTGGATGGCATCAGAAGCAAAGGTGACGTGAGCTCATATGCACACAGTCAGCAAGAAAGGTCCAGATACAACATACCACAGCAGGCAGTGCAGCAGTGATCTCCGCAAAATGGACACATCAGATGCCGTGGTGAAGTACATGTTTTTTTTTTTTTTTTTTTTTAAACTGAGGGCCCCCTATGGGTCCCCCACTGAAGAAATTGCCAAGGGGAGGTGCACCCAAGCTTGGGGAAATATAATGGCATCAGGCAGAGGGCAAGGATGGGGACTAGGATGGGGACAAGGATGGGGAAGACCCAGGGGCTCAGTAGGGGGCAGATGCAGAGGAAGGGGATCGGGAAGAAACGCAAACGCCTGTTACATCCATGGAAAAGACGGACATTGGGCAAGAGACTGTCCGACCCAAGGTGATAATGAGGAGGCTGGGGGAGACAC